TTTTTTTTTTAAGGATTTGTTTGTTTATTATGTATACAGCATTCTGCCTGCATGTAGGGCTTGCGAGATGGCTCAGCAGTTAAGATCACTGACTGCCCTTCCAGAGGACGTGGGTTCAATTCCCAGCACCCATCTCACAACTATCTGTAACTTCTGTTCCTGAGGATCTGCTACCCTCACACAGACCTGCAGAGAAAAAAAACATCAGTGCACATAAAGTAAAATAAGTAATTTATTGAAAAGAGTCTCACAGATAAATACAATTTTGTAAATGAGGAAGCTTGAGAGTAGAGAAGTTAGGTGCTTTCAAGGACATCACAGGATTTGTTTGTAACTAGTTTTGTTTAGAGACAGGGTCTCACTGTGTAGCACTAGCTGACCTAGAACTTGCTATGTATACCTGATTATACTCAAATTCTGCCTGCCTTTACCTTCTGAGGGCTGGAATTAAAGGTGTGAACCCCTATTTTCTTTTTTTTAAATATTTATTTATTTATTATGTATACAATATTCTTTCTGTATGTATGCCTGAAGGCCAGAAGAGGGCACCAGACCTCATTCCAGATGGTTGTGAGCCACCATGTGGTTGCTGGGGATTGAACTCAGGACCTTTGGAAGAGCAGGCAATGCTCTTAACCGCTGAGCCATCTCTACAGCCCAGAACCCCTATTTTCTTGGTGACAGTGTGTTCATTCTGTTAACATTAGCCTTATTTTATGACCTCAAATCCCTGCCGAAATCAGAGTCATAGAGGCAAACATTTCAAAAATGTATTTCCGTGTGTGTGTGTGTGTGTGTGTGTGTGTGTGTGTGTGTGCGCGCGCGTGCGCATAGACAAAACTATGTCAGCAGCTATATTTCTCTCTGGCTCAAAGTTTTACAATGGGGAGAAGAGGCACTGGAGAAAAGACTAAGAGTACTTCATGGTGGGCGGTGGTGGCGCATGCCTTTAAACCCAGCACTTGAGAGGCAGAGGCGGGTGGCTCTCTGTGAGTTTGAGGCCAACCTGATCTACAGAGTGAGTTCCAGGACTGCTCTGCTACTGAGAAACCCTGTCTCCAAACAAAAAAAGAGTGCTTCCTGCTCTACCAGACTCATTTCACTTCTCAGCACTCTAGAACTCCAGCTGCAGGGGACCAGTTCTCCCCTTGGCCTATAAGGTTACCTTCACACATGTCACACACACACACACACACACACACACACACACACACACATCCCACAGAGATTAAAAAAAAATTAAAGAGAAATTCTTTGTGGGGCTGGAGCGATGGCTCAGTAGTTAAGGAGAACTAGATTCTCTTTCAGGACACCTGAGTTTGATTCCCAGCACCCACAGTGGCTCACAACCACCTCTAACTTCAGGGGACCTGAGTTTGATTCCCAGCACCCACAGCAGCTCACAACCACCTCTAACTCCAGATCTAGGGGTCTGGTTCTTTCTGGCTTCCATGGGCCACAAACATGTCCACAATAATAAATGCAGACAAAACATCTGTTCACATTTTTTTTTTAAATTGGGAGAGCTGGGTGTTCCTTTGCAGAGCTATAATCCCAGTGTTGGGGAGGAGGAGACAGGTGACAATATGGTTTTATGGAGTGTAAAGATATTAAATGATGCTGATAGGTTAAATAAAATGGGCACTAAAAATTTGGAGGATTTGGCAACTCCACATACCCTCCTCATCTTAGTAATAGTAGACTGTAGACAAAACTTCAAAAAGCCAAACATGGTGGCACACACCTTTAATCCCAGCACTCAGAAAGCAGAAGCACGCAGATTTCTGTGAGTTCAAGGCCAGTCTAGTCTAGTTCCGGGACAGACACCAAAACTCCAGAGAAACCCTGTCTTAAAAGGGAGGGTGATTTTTGACATACTAGGATGGGTGGCCAGGCTCTTCTCTCCTGTATTCTCTCAAAATGTGAGACTGGTCTGTGACCCCAGATACATGGGCTTTTCCCCCATCAACAACTAGTTAGCAAATGATTCTCTAGCAGGTGCTCCTTAGATGTTTTATTTGTCTGTTCAGTTCTGTCATGGATTACCTGGAAGTAGCCTCAGATTCTGCAGATTGAGGACTTGGTCCCACAATGCTTCCCCTTTCTAAGAAGGCCAGGGCCCATGTTGCTGCTTCTCAGTACCCTCCTTGGGTTTGGTTAGTTTCCTTGAGTAGCATGTAGAATTCTAGGAAATACTTACATTTTCTAATTTGTACTTAGGGTATTTAGAAAGGATTCAGGTCCATAGTGAATGAAGGCTGTGACAGGGCAAATTAGAGAAGAAACATGGAGCTCATCTTTCTCCATGAACGCACCAGTCTCTGTGGTCATTAATGTGAAACTCCACTTTCTCAGACCCATACTTAGGTTTTATAGAGGTTTCACTGAGTGGGCACAGCTAAGCATGATTATTGGTCATGAGTCATCACCCTGCCTTCAATACCCCTCACTGAAAATGCTTACCCCCTCGTAGGCCATGGTCATAGGTCCCAGTCATTCTGGTGACCAGACCCCTTCCTGAAACTCTCTAGGGGTTCCTAACTACTGGCTGTCTCAAACATATGATGAAGACTCTTATAACACCAGAGACTCCAAGAAGTTTAAGAGCCGACTGCTAGGAAATTGGCCAAAGACCACACACGTATCCCAGTATCACAGCTTAGTATTGTCTGGGAGAGTGGTAGATAAAGGGATCAGGATGTGACCCTTGAGGTTCTTGATGCCTCTTTAAAGACAGGAACAGAGCAGAACTGGCTATTACGGTTGCTTCAGGGTTTTTCTAGGGATATTTAACAGCCAGCTAAATAGTTTATGAATGTACTATAATTTATTTAGACAGTTCTCTTCATAACTCTAACTTCTAAACTTTTAAATCTTATAAATAGTATTGCTGATAAACATTATAATAAACAAAATAATCCAGAGGCAGGGACAGGTGGATCTCTGTGAATTTGAGGCCACCCTGTTCTCCAAAGAATTGCAGAGACCAACCAGGGCTACATAGTGCCTGTCTCCAAAAAAGAGCTAATGTAGAAACTGCCAGATTACCCTGTAGAAGATACACTGGTGTATACTGCTGTTAGCAGTGGTATCAGTTTTCCTCGGCCCTAGTTAGCTTAATCATATACTATTAAATAATGTGTGAGTGTATTGGCCGAAGAAATTTTATGCTGATTTTCTTTCTGCTTCATTTGATAACTCACAAGTTTATCTTCATAATAGCCATTTTGTTTTTGTTATTATTTGTTTTTTAAATAGAAGAAAACTGGTGGTGGCTGGATAATGACAAGAGTGCCACTCACCTCTGCTCCTTTGAAGTCATCTGTTGTGCCTTGGTTCAGTTTTTATTTGGGATGGGATGTGGGCCATTAGTTAGTGGTAATTTTCCTTTTTTTTTTTTTTGAGACAGGGTTTCTCTGCGTAACAACTCTGGCTGTCTTGAAACTCACTTTGTAGACCAGACTGGCCTTGAACTCAGAGAGGTCTGCCTGCCACACATCTTGACTTTAAAAAAATGATTTATAGCTGGGCAGTGGTGGTGCTTACCTTTAATCCCAGTACACAAGAGGCAGAGGCAGGAGAATCTCTGGGTTCAAGGCCAGCCTAGTCTATAGAGCAAGTTGTTTCAGGACAGCTAAGGCTACACAGAGAAACCCTGTCCCCCCCCCCAAAAAAAATTATTTTAAATTGTGTGTGTATGTGCATATTTCTGTGTGTAGGTGTGAGCATGTGAGTTCAGGCATCTGTGGAGTTCAGAAGAGGGTGTCATATGCCCTGAAGCTGGAATTATAGGTGGTTGTGATCTGCTTCACATGGGTGCTGGGAACCAAACTTGAGTCCTCTGGAAGAGCAGAGGACTAACCAGTGATGCTAACCACTGATCCATCTCTTACCCTATTCCCATTTGTTTTAATTGCCTTTTCATCTTATTTTTGGAGCAGTGTGTTTTGGAGCATCGCTTGTCTTGTTCAGTATTTTGATCTGTTTTCCATATGGATACCTCAAAAGATTTTTCCCGGTCTAAGATGTTACCTATACTTTATTCTCATTCTTTTTATTTAGATATTTATTTAGATCTTTATTTGGGGGGTAGTGTATTATACCACGGTGGAAGTTGTACGACAACCTATAGGAATTTGTTCTCTTCTTCCATCACATGGGTTTTAGGTGTTGAACTTGGGTCATCAGGTTTGACAGCAAGTGCTACTGAGCCATCTTGCCACCCCTTTTAGTTCTATTGGAAATGTCATGTGTATGCCCTAACTATTATTTCCAATTTGGTTTAAAGTGGGTATAGCTTGAATTTAGTAGAAATTCAATTGCTATTTCTTTCACAGCAAAGATTTGTGGAGAAGATGGACAGGTGGATCCCAACTGTTTCGTTCTGGCACAGGCTGTAGTCTTTAGTGCAATGGAGCAAGAGTAAGTTCATATTCTCACATTAGCATTCCTGGGAAATCTGGCTCCTGATTAGAAAATGGACTTCACTCAACTAAAAACAATGCACTTTTGAAGATTCAAGTCACTTGGATAAAGCCATTTGGGGTGATTGAGGCTGTAGTATATGACTGATAATCTGTTAATTTAATAATGCATGTCTTCAGATGGACATCTGATTTGTTCATGCTTTCAGTTTATGCTCTATAAACAATAATAAACTGTCTCCAGACTTTTTAAGATTATTGCTGTGTGCCTTTAAAATTTTATATATTCATTCTTTTACTCCATATTTTTTACGTGTTTTGTACAGAGCCACAAGTATACCTGCTTTAAAGGAAGTTATAGCTCAATTAAAGAAACAGTCCATGTTCTTTGGTTACCTTAACATGAAGTAGCATGTATGAACTATCAGGAGAAAGCCACAAACTCATTGAGAGATTGAGAGACAGGGAGATGGCTTACAGCTGAAAGTAATCAGGAATAACATATTGGGAAATAAGGCAGCCTTGACCCAGGTTTTTAAGATTTTGTAGGAATAAAGCCACGCGGTGGTTGCATACACCTTTAATCCCAGCACTTGGGAGGAAGAGGTAGGCAGATCTCTGTGAGTCCAAGGCTAGCCTGGTCTACAGAGCTAGTTCTAGGACAGCTAGGACTACACAGAGAAACCCTGTCTTGAAAAATAAAAAGAAACCATTTAATAGGAATAGTTTTGGAAAGAGTGTTTTGTTTTTGTTTTTGTTTTTTTAGTTATGCTCTTTCCTTGGTCTTTCCCTCAAATACTCTCTTTTTGTCCACATGCAGGCACTTTAGTGAGTTTCTGCGAAGTCACCATTTCTGTAAATATCAGATTGAAGTGCTCACCAGTGGGACTGTTTACCTGGCTGACATCCTCTTCTGTGAGTCAGCCCTCTTTTATTTCTCTGAGGTAAATTTTGCATTTTCTTTTATATTTTGTTAGAACATTCCAGCCCCATGCTGGGGATCTGTCTAAACAAAATGACATAGAAGAGATAAGTCATTTCCAAATGGTTGTTTTAGGTTGTGCTGTAGGCAAGAATGCTTTAATGGCATATTCATCAGTTTAAAGAGAAAACTCAGTGTAAAATAACTCTAGTTTTAAAAAAGCACTTTAGTTATACTATAAGAGAATACATTATAAAAAATTTTTTTGAACTATTTTAAAGCCATAGAATTGAAAGCTAGGAATATAACTCAGTTGGCAGAGTAATTGCCTAGCATGCATGAAGCTCTGAGTTCAGTCTCTAACACCACACAAATGTAAGTGTGGTGCTGCAAACCTGTAATTCCAGCATTCATGAGGTGGAGGCAGGAGGATCAGAAATTCAAGGTTATCCATCCTTTGCTACATAATGACTCCGAGGACACCCTGGTCTACTTGAGCCTCTACCTCAAAAATAATTAAATAGGAGCTGGGGAGATAGCTGAGTAATAAAGTGCTTGCTGAATAAGCATGAGCACCTGAGTTCAGATCCATAGAACCCAAGCGGAAAAGCTGGGCATGGCCATACATTTATATGCTCAGCATTGGGAAGTGGAGACATGGGGCTCCTTGGCGCCTGATGACTAGCTAGTCTACTCGGTTGGTGAGCTTTGGGCTACGAGACCACGTCTCAAAAAATAAGGTAGGGTGCAATAAGGAACACATCTGATGTCAGCCTCTGCCTTCATATGCTCACACATGAACACAGGTACTCCCAACATACACACACACACACTAAGCGTGAATAAATAGCTGAGTGTTGGTGGCACATGCCTTTAATCCCAACATTCAGGAGGCAGAGGAAGTGAATCTCTGTGAGTTTGAGGCCAGCCTGGTCTACAGAGAAAGTTTCAGGACTGACAGCTACTGAGAAACCCTATCTCAAAAAACCAAAAATAAATAAATAAGGCCATAGAGTTGTCTACTTTATTCCATTGCTGTAATTACAGACCAGATTTCAGAAGAAAGGTTTTCCTATGTTCATCATTTTTACTTTTGCTACTTGATAGAATTTTTCAGTATAATATTTGAAGCAAACTGTTAATCTCTATAAGACATATATGGTGTTTTTCAGTATTTATTCCACTTATTGAAATTTTTTGCTGTTTAAAGATTTATTTATTTATTTGTTTATTTATTGTGTATAGTGTTCTTTCTGCATGTCTGCATGCTCGAAGAGGGCACCAGATCTCATTTTGGATGGTTGTGAGCCACTCATTTTGGATGGTTGTGAGCCACCATGTGGTTGCTTGGAATTGAACTCAGGACAGTGCTCTTAACCACAGAGCCATTTCTCCAGCCCCTTATAAAAGTCTTTTTTTTTTTTTTTTTTTTTTTTTTCGAGACAGGGTTTCTCTGTGGTTTTGGAGCCTGTCCTGGAACTAGCTCTTGTAGACCAGGCTGGTCTCGAACTCACAGAGATCCGCCTGCCTCTGCCTCCCAAGTGCTGGGATTAAAGGCGTGCACCACCACCGCCGGCTCTAGAAGTCTTTTAAACAAATTATTAGCATGTAATCATACATGATAATGAACTTCTTTATGACCTATTCATAGATGTACATAATATATTTTGATTATATTCACATAAATACTTTGTTCCCCCCCCCCATTTCCGTCCTGTTCTCAACTGCCCCTCTTCTATTTGTTTTATGGGGTTTTTGTTGTGTGTGTGTGTTTTGGGGTGTGTATCTGTGTCTATCCGTCCAAGTGAGTTTCATTAGGGTTGTTTACAGTAGCATGGACACTTACATTGACTTTACCTCTAAAGAACATGACTCTCCACCCCTCATCTGTCATTAACTTCATGTAATCTTTAGGGAGCTGTGTAGCCCCATGACCCCTTCCCCCTTCCACTACAAGGTTGTTGATGGGCCCAGTCTATGGCGATCTTTGCAGGTAATCACAGCTGCTGATTACCTGAGTTCAGCAGGGGAACAGCCACACTGTGCCTGGGATTCAGTGTTCCACACCACTTGTTCCCTTCCTCCAGCTCTAACATTCTTTCTGACTCCTCTTCCATGATTTTCCTCAAGCCTTGGAGGGAGGGATACAGGTGTCCCATTTACAGTTGCATATTCAACAGTCACTTATGGGACCTCTGTCATCACCACTGATCACTACAGAAAGAAGCTTTTCAGCCTGACATGGTGGTTCATACCTTTAATCCCAGCACTGGGAAACTGAGGCAGGTGGATCTCTCTGAGTTTGAGGCTATCTTGATCTACATAGTGAGTTCTAGGCCAGCCAGAGCTACATAGTGAGATCCTGCCTTAAAAAAAAAAGTCTCCCATCAAAACTATAGCACTATTCTACTTGTTTGAACATGTTATTTAGAAAGCATCTTGACAGTTGACAAGCACATCATGTTAACTTTGCAAAGCAACAGTAGTATCATACTCCCTAGGGCTTCTGACCTTCTTAGCCATGAACTTTTTTGCCTGTGTTAAACTACCAAATGTAGATTATTTCCTTTGAAGTGGGTTTCAGATATAATCAGAAAACAAATTGATTACCTCCATGACTGACTTGCCACTATTGTACTAGTGAGCACAGCTTGCCTGACTGGTGAGGAGTGTTGAACACATTGTCCTTAGCCAGGTAAGATTGTAACAGTTTCCCCCTGTACCCTGTAAAGAGCCTTCCTACTTAGAAGCCTTTATTCCATTTCCAGCTAGATTTCTCTTTGTCATGTGATCAGTGTGATTTCTTCAGCAAATGGGGTCTTACCATCTAGTTCTTGTTGAAATAGGAGCGGCGGGGCTGCGTCCCCAGCACCCCGGCCGCCTGCTAGCTTATGCCTGAAATAACAACACACAAATTGTATTCTTTTAAACACTGCTTGCCCATTATATCTAGCCTCTTCTTGGCTAACTCTCGCACCTGGACTAGCCCATTTCTAATAATGTGTGTAAGCACCCCAAGGTACGCTTACTGGGAAGATTCTAGCCTACGTCCATCCTGAGTCGGAGCTTCATCATGTGTGTCTCTGAGAGCAGAGCTATCTTGCGTCTACCCGGGAGAGCTGAGCATGGCGTCTCTGCTCCAGAGAGCAGAGCTGTCTGGTCTCTCCAGGAACAGAACAGAGTCTGACCTCACTTCCTCTTCTGTTTACTCCTCCCACCTATGTT